CTTTTATAACCAGATAATACCTCACAACATGTTACATCATGAGAATCTTAACCTTTTCTTAATCAGCTAGCCTGGTATAGTTTGGTGGTTAGAACGCTGGAATTGCAATCTGCGGATTGCGAAATTAAATCCCGTCATCAAACATGCTCGCCTTTTTAGCAGTGGGAGCGTTATAATGTGACAGTCAATCCCCGTATTCGTTAGAAAACAATAATTCAAGTGTTAGCAGTTGGTTATATTGACTAGCTAGGTTCCCTCTAGTCTATCATTTTAAAATTAGAGACTGCTAGCGCAGATAGCCCTCGAGTATCTTTGCGCCAATAACTATCTGATGTCTTAGACGATGTTATTTGTACATGTTAAGTATCCTAAAATATATATAACTCCATCCTCAGACAGGGGTAATAGAAAATCTGAAAATATTTAAATATTTGATTTCAGTATTCAACTGATAGTCAAAGAAAGAGAAATGTTGGCTTAATGAAATGCAGTAAATGTTTACAATATTAACCGTGCATTTTATCTAAACGATTTTTTTTGTGACAAGTCAACCTAAAACGTATGTGTAACGTATAATGAGCAGTCTGTTTTTCTAGAGCTTCGTTTTTTGAACAGCCATTTTTTGCCGTGTGTTCCTTCATTCTTGTACTTTAATCACATAACTGGAAAATGTTTCCACATTTTCTGGATCGCGTGGTCGTTATATATATGTTAACGAAGAACGTAATTTAGTTGTTCTGTATATTTTTTTAAGTATAAAAAATGCTGATAACACCTTGAAGATGGTCTTTATTTTTTATGTTTAAATCAAATTGTCTTTTGTAAAGGTAAAATAATGGGAAACTTCCATGTAAAAATCGATAATTATAAAGATAATAATGAATAATGATATTTATCTGGTAAAGAGCAAAATAAAAAGTAACTGTGCGACTGAATATATCTGAAATAATATTATCCTTTTAATCTTTTAAAAGTAAATTACTAATTGGATTTAAAATATGTTCAGAAATTAAAGATGTAGGAAAATAATTTTAAGGAAAAGTACTTGGTAAAAAACAAATAATGACGTTTTACGAATTGAAGCGTTGATTGTGTATCAACGCTTTGGCAACGCCTCAAATTTTGATAATGTTGTAGCTTTTTTTATTAATTATTGGTTAATCTTCAAGTTGGTTACTTCTCAAAACTGAGTACGGGATTGAATAAAATTATTAAACATGACTTCCATGAGACTTGAAACGAAAAGTCAAAATGTATATTGGTTATCAGCCTATTATACGTCTTTTATGATACTCCACACTCAACGTTAAGAATATAACAATTTTCATCTCACAGCACTATGTTATGGAAGTGGAAAATGAAGCTTCATAAATCGAGTGCTCAACTAGTTTGTGTTGATAAAATGGATTAAAATAACTATATATATACAGTAAAGTAGTTGTATGTATGGTATGAATTAGTGATATAAACAAAATTACAGAATTGAGGATTACAAAGTTTAGTGTTGCCTAGTTCTTAGAACACCAATAGACGGGTGCTTAAACTACTAGAGATACTACAATTTTTCAAACTGAAATATAGAGTTTACTGAGTATCTAATCATGATACGTGGTAAATAAAACCCCTGAAACAAGGATAAACTAGATTATCTTATAATTCACTGTATGTTGATTCATGGTAATATTAGAATACTTTACTTATTGAATTTGTAAGTATTAAACTGTCACACTTGAATCTTCTAGCGCTTGAATTCAAGTCAAACATTTTATTACCTGTTAACTGACGACCTCGCCGAGCGAACAACGCGTAGCTAATACACTAAAGCAGTTTCTTCATTAAATTAACAGACAGCATACATAATAAACTAACACACTCCATTATATGATTAGCATACAGCAATAAAACAGTGTTGTGTTCAAGTGACTTTCGCTTGTCGGTTCTGCTGCCTTTGTTGGAACTACAAACGCTTGGAGACATGATGAATTGTACTGGAGCTCAAAGCTCCCTAGAGTCTATAAATATTTGTATATTAGAAATGACAATGAGAGGATAGCATAGCGCTCATTTGAGACCTATGGAACAAACCTGAGGTATTCACGTCTCCTAGTATCCAGTTGAAAAGCTAAAATTTCTTGCAAAACGCAGGTTCAGGACTGCATGGTAAGTGAATAATAAATAGAACACTGGGAGTAAGGGAAATCAAGTTACATGCAGTCTTTACCCAAGTCAGTTCTACAGGTTTCTGTATTACCTATATGTATAGGCTACTTTCCAAGATGTTCACATAGAAACGCATACACACTAGCTTGAGACTCAAGGACAAATATTGCGATATGTACTCTTCACCTTCTTTACAATTTTTAGTCATCCGATAAACACGGGTGTGATTAATTACAGGCAGAAGCTGCATGAAAATTTAAACCATATTTACATGAAAACACCTGAATAAAGATAGTTTCTATACTAGTTGTTGAAAATTGATATCCATAATTAGTTCTGTTATTACAAAACTGTAAACGTTTCACTGTAGTCCGAAACTGTTTTATTTGGTTGGGGGAGCTTAAAAAAATTTCCTAAACAACATTCTGCCTCTTTAAACAGAAAATATCAGATCTTTCTTATACTCAAATGTAAGCGCAAATGCCCATACACGTATGTCTAAGTATACATGCACATATTAAGGTATTTATGTAGCCTTACATGTGCCTACTCATTTTCCCACTAGGCTTGTCACGAAGTATTACTTTCTACTCACTGTACGTAAATTGAATTACATACGTAGATTCTTATCCATACAAATTTTATATTAAATTATCATCAATTGATTTGACTTTACAATAACGAAAACCTAAAACAATGATAGCTAGTGTAACGGGTTTGGAGATTGAATAGTTTTAATTATTGATTTTCAAGACTCCTAATTTTCGTTAATGAATAAGCTAAGAAACGTTAAATTAAATCACTATAATTATTTGTCATGTTCACAGGTTTAAAATAATCTCATTTTGGGTAAATCGTGATGAAATAAAATATATTTTTGGTAAAACTAAGTTGAATTATTGAGTACGATCTTTTTAACTTCTTCTTACATCTTAATACAACATTATGGCAGATTTTGCATGATAGTATACGTGTTGTCAGACGTTACATGACAGTGCTAGATATTGCGTGGTAGTAAACATGATACAAGATATTGCTTGGCAGTACTACATGATGCTAGATCTGGCAAGAAAATACACCTGATGCCAGATCTTGAATAATGGTAGCACATTATACTATCTTTTCCAATGAGCTACTAATTATAGTAATCAAATCTTCTTTTCAAAAAAGAAGTTTGGTCGCTTAATTCAAAAATGCGTAGATTTGATAATTCATGTTTCAAATGTGCTAAGTCTTTTGTACCATATTAAGAAAATTTCAGCAAATAAGGATATTTTGAAATAGATTTAAAAAGTACTACTAATAAAATACTATACCTTTTGCAGCGAGGCCTAGCGTGGCCTGGTAGTTAGGGCGCTCAACTCACAATCATCGAACATCTTCATCCTTTCTGCCGTGGGGGCGTTATAATGTGACGGTCAATTCCACTACTCGTTGTCAAAAGAGTAGTCCAAGAGTTGCCGGTGGGTGATGTTGACTAACTGCTAAATTATGGATGACTAGCGCAGAAATTCCTTACAAACCAAACCTCTTGAAGCATTATTTTTTGGAAATTATTACAAACATGTTATTCCTTAAAACAATAAACAATGTAAAAATGGAAATTAATCTTTGATTTAATTCAATACCAATATTACATTTCATAAATATAAGTAAAAAATTAATATATACACACATACATATATGTGTGTGTATGTATTTTTTTCTAATGTAGCAAGCTATAAAATGTCTATAAAAACGTTATGGAATTTTTCCTTCTCTCGCACTTAAAATGATTTTAAACACATGACGTAATTTATTCCATATATATATGTGTGTGTGTTTATAACGTTTGTAAGACATACATATAATCAAAATATATCTTATTGTCATCTGGTTGTCTGAAACGACTGTATTTAGCATTTTCTAGTGTTTTTAGTTATGTGTACTTTTTTTCACGAACAACAAACAGTGAAATTAGATTGTTTAATTACAGGGTTTTTAAATACCTTATGAGAATGTGTAAAAACCTATGAATATTTTTATTTCGTGACCGATGTTGATAATTTTTCTTGTTAACTAAGAGGAAGAAATGTAATATCAAATTAACTCCTTTTGAGTGACATTTAACCTCACCAGCAAATAAAATGTTTAGCAAGATCCTTTGTAGTAGGGTTGGAATTTCTTAATCTATGACGAAATGTTAACTGAAAGAGATGATCTAGAAGCAAGTTATACAGTGGTCGATATATTCACAGAAGCTCGTGACTTTCGAAGTTCAGGCTTTCATAAGCGCACTGAGTTTCTCATACCCTTGATCATAAAACTGGAAAATGAGGCTTTCTTGTCATGTTTGCCTCTGGCTCTGACACTTTCGTTCTCATATCTTGTGAGATGATGAGGACAAACAACATGCACTTGTATGTATATATATATCTGCTCAACACACACGTATTTCTATATATATATAGCTACTCAATATTCTTGGTCACACAACTCAACTATACTCGTATTAAATAAAAAAAGCAATGCTATTTTTAAATATTTCAAAATTAAGCTATGATTACAAATTAAAGTTTATTTACTTGATCTCCATGCCAAATTTGATTCTTATTAAGACCTCAATAACTGCCATAAAAACTCTTTTCAAATCTTAAAAATATTCTAAGTCGTTTCTTAAATCATGAAAACTGTCTTGAAAGCATCTTAGGTTATAACTATGAAACTAAAAACCCGAAATTCAGATAAACAAGGTTTTGAAGTTACTCTTTTTCTTCTGTTTGTTTCTGCTACTCCAGTGAATAAACGATATTTATTTAATAGATTTTTCGTGACTTAAACCACACAGAAAGATTCGGAAATATATTATAAACACTCTTTATTAATTCCTCGAAGTAAATTTCCTAAATACATTGTGGTGTGGATAATCAGATACCGAAAGTGCATTGACGAACATCTTGAAATTAGAATACACATCAGATAAGGCGATAATATTCAGCACAAGAAATAACAAGCAGTATTCTCTTACATATAAGATTTAAAAGATTTGTTCTCTTCATTGATCTTCCAAAATGGTCATCGTTACTCGATTTTTACCTTGAAAAACTAAACCCTTTCCTTCTCACTTGTCCTAATGTAGTTTGTCCTCTTTTGAACATGATGAAAGGCCCGACTTCCATCTACGTAAACAGTTACCTTTGCGTCTATTCGACGCGGGACGTGATTGGGCGGATCTATATAAAGATATGTTAAATAAAGTCGCCAACTTATTGTTAATGTTCTTTAATATACAACTTATTACGAATAAACTAAAACTTTGTACTGTTAGAACATCTGCAGATTTCAAGTGTAAAATTAGTCATCAACACAGTTAAAAACACCAATCTGTCATGGAACATTAAAGTGCGCAATAATTTCAATTTAACATAGTAACATACGCAATAGGTACTGAACCACGTGACATTCTTTCATATTTTAACAGTAGTGCGACATAAAAGACAAGTTTTTCTTCTTAGTTTTTAGTATGTTGACTTCTCTAGGTATTAGAAACTGGTGAGTAAGTTTAATTAAAATAGGCTCAATCCTTCTGTTTGATGGCGGGTGTGCCCTTGCACTTAGCATGTTTCTGTGGGGTTGGGGGAACACTGTAAGAGTGTTTGTTAAATTTCCCCAAAGCTATGCTCGAGGGCTATCAAGCCGTTCCTAAAGTTGAAATGATAAATTATAAGAACCATCCACAACCAACTCTTGACCTACTTTTTACCAACGAATAGTGTGATTGATTGTAACTTTATAGTGCCCCCAAGGTTTGGCGACAGGTTTTATCTCGTAACCCACAGATTACGAGCCGAGCTCCCTTACCACCAGCCCATTCCCTACTATAAGAACTATAGTCAAATCCCACCTATGGGTTAGTCAAGAGTAAGCGCTTAGTAGCTGTTGACTGGCTGGCTTCCTCTAATCTACCATTTCAAAATTAAGGATGACTATGCGCAGGTATTTTTCAAAGAACCAACACATCTGTTTAAATAAATTACAAAGAAAATATAAGCAGTAACTACAGAAAAGTTAAGGGGAATGTAATGAATACAACTGTAAAACTCAACTAACTATAGAGGATCGAAAAACGGTAAGTGTAAACTAGATATATAAGGAAACAACACAATTTAAAAAGAAATGAAACATGTCACCAATATTGATTCGGCAACATCAAATTAGTCAATATTGCATGAATTTGTAAATTTATTTTCTAGTTATTTAACTGTAATATTTTAAAATTTTACTCAAACAAAGGATATTCCTTTTAGGTTAACAACCTAACGTTCGTCAGTAGAACTTTGATCAATAAATCAAACCGACTCATTAAGATAATATCATCTCCTAAGGTGAAGCAACATCTGAGTGTACTCTGATGGAAATTGTTTTAAAATATGAATGAGGATGATGATGCAAAACTATCCCTTCAGAAAATGTTGCAATACAAAAGGAGCAGCCTTTGCTGGGAAGATATTCCAGAACTGATAGAGATTTAATGTTTTATGTATAATAGTAAAGATCACAAGTAAGTGACCTAACGTCTGCTATTACTGAGCTGAAAATTACTATAAACTATGGGCCGACCGTGGCTATCGTACCGAATTTGAAACGTCTACTGAACACCACCTAAGAAAGCGTTAATAACATATGTTGAAACGTCCATTGACACCGCTTGAAGATGTGCTATTAACATGTTTCGAAACGTCTATTGAACACATCTTGAGAATGTACTTTTGACATGTGTTGAAACGTCTACTGACTACCGCTTGAAGATGTACTATTGACATGTGTTGAAACTTCTATTGAACACCATTTGAGGACGTACTATTGACATGTGTTGAAACCTCATGTGATACCATATCTATTACTTAAAAAGTTGCATAATAAAATGCCAGGCAACGGATAACACTTAAACGTTCTTTAGTAGAGTTTCTGTACAATATAATTACCATGGTGCTTTGTTAGTCCTGGCTGTATCCAACCATATATGTGAATAATAACTTTCCCCCGATTTCCAAAAAAAAAAAAAAGAAAGAGGGAAAGAGAGAGAGAGAGAAAGCGTATGTATTACATTTTTGAAAAAAGAAAAGATAAAAACAGATTTAGACACTTAGTAAATATGAAAGAACTTTCTGCCTT